GGTAATCGTATTTTCCATTTAGTTCTTGTCTAACTGAAAAAAGTGATCTTACAATAATTTCTCCTCTTACCCGAGATAACTCTCACACTCTTTCTCGTTATATCTCATGAGTTAGTTAATTTTATCGCTTAGCCCAAATGCGAAGTCGAAACACATCTGATGAAATATGTTTTGCTTATTACTAACTAAATATAATATTTTTCAAGTGTGGAACGTCACAAATTGGACTGCTACACTTCTGTGCTCATTTCCATGTTAAAACTCAGTCAGTCAGCTTTGTCACTGCAGATGCGTAGTGTCACAACTACCTAGTGTTAATTAGCTTAAACAATTATTCATACCGTTTCCTAAGTACTCTATGCACTTCCTAATTCCTTAAATTGTCCAGATAAAGTGCACCGAAGAGGAAAACATAAACCAAAAGTCAGTAACACGGACATAAGAATTAGTGTGAATAGAAGTGAATGAGATGAGTGACCTTTTATCCCTGTAGTACGCTTAACTAAAATACTCATGTGTATGAATGAGGCAAAAAGTTGTGTGACTGACTTGATACGATTATGAGCAATAATTTGTGCTCGAAACGTCATCAGATAATATTGCTGTACAACACTGTGTGATTTATCAAAATAAAGTCGTATCCATAATGTAGTTATACTCTACCATATTGCCCAAGTTTTACACACATATCAAAAATATTCATCTTATCCATAATGTGTCACCCAACTGTTTCATTTTTATCTTCCTCATTTTAGGTTGTCAGTCTTCGTAGACATTCTGCTAGATGTCGTCGTACATAGTGTCTGCAAGCAGTCTTTCAATACATCTACCTCCCGCAAAGTTTTTGTTACGACGCCTTTAGATTATTTACATTTGGCCGTAATACAATTAGTATGCTAATATTACTGATGCAATGACATGCAAGACCTGTACATGTTACTGTGAAGTTTGCCTGTAATAACATTCCCTCCATAGTAAATACAATGCTTGTGATAACAATTCGTCATTATCTTTTCATTGCGTTGATAGGTGCGTATATATTAGAAAAAAGCTAACCTTGTCGTATTAGTTCTCTAAATTACAATCACTAAGTGCCCATACCTCTGCTGAATACCAAGTGCTACTCGTGGCCCATGAACTACTTATTACTGCATTCGTAAATAACTGTCAAACTATTATTACATAGAGTAGTGAAACAGAAGGCGTATGAAATTTAGATATTAATGTGTATCTGAAGTTAACGACACAATATATATGTACATGTTTCATTTCCAAGCAAGAGAATTTTATAGGGTGATGTAGGGCTGAGCGCAGTGAGTTAAGAGTGTATTCTTTACTGTATACATATTGTATGAGTGAAATGCTTCTATTCAATTTTCGGCAAAGCTTCAATATCGTCCTGCAGGGTTTCTTCAATGCACTCTCAGGGAACAATACTTGGTACTGAGGAATCCAGCCAAAAGCATCTGTGACACAGTCGAATGACTTTTTCAACTAAAAGCCGCAATACTGATATTAAGTGTGATTTACCTGTAAACTGAGGGACTCTAGTGTAACACAGCACCATATCCCAGCAGGGTATTCTTTGTGTTTTACAGGTACAAGTAGAATTCATGGACTGAGCATTTGTCAAATATGGAGGCGACCCACTGAGTCACTTAGACGAAGGGCTGAGGAAATGCGATACCTTATACACGCACCTTCAGATGTAGGCATGTGTCACTTCACATGAACTCTGAGCCATATCGAGTAGGCATTCCTTTAAATCTACCCTACCTTGTACGCTGAATTATTGTTCGTATATACGTGATGACTTGGTGCGTTTCCTGGTTTGCCTATAATTACGGAATGTACATTATATTAGGGAACACAAATGGATTTTGTGAAAACCAGTGGTGTTCCTTTTCTAGTCTTAACTGATGTCACATTGATTGACACGATTAAAGGAATAGATTGTAACATGGTGTTTTCTGTAGCTGCGAAACGTAGATACCTAGTTTCGAATTGACATCATGCGTCTAATCCTGTTAACCTACGGGCATAGTTTATCCTTCTAACGAAACCGAATAATGATAATCGTTTAGCCTACCAATATGCCGCTTACTTTCAGTCTCAATTTAAAGACAAATTTAGTTGCTCACTAAATTAATAGTTTCAGAAGAGTGCACTACTCCTATCTTCGAAATACTCTGCCCGATCGTGTTTTACTTCAAAATATTTGTATACTGGCCAGTTGATGTTGCTAATCCAGTTACACTGTTTTTCAGTTACAATGTCCCACCTATTTCCTATCAAACAAAATATCCCTCAAACCATCAACGAGTAACCATCGTTTCTAAATAAATAACCTTAATTATTCGCATGTAAACAATGCTAATAACTTTATCACTTACGTGATGTTTCAACTTTCGATTGATCAGTTTTCCCATTCATGAGCACCTGTTTCAATTTTAACGGATAGTTCTAACCTTTGACTACTGAATTAGTACGTTTCGTTATATACCAACCTTACGAAATATAGGTACTGATGATAATTACTGCTAACGGATTTATCACGAGAACGAGAATGCACTCCGTACTGACGACAATATACCTCAGAGGCGGTAGCATCTTCTAAACGCACTACTCAATACAACACATGACCCTAACTCTGTAGCTCACAACATTCTATAAAGTGAGTGGTGACTATTAACAAGTAGAATATCTATTTGAGGCATAGGGAATATATTTATTAGTGATTCAACACAAAATACAAAATCAACGATACTGGAAACCACTTTCTTCAGCAACGAATCCGACGAGGTCACTGGAATTACAGATTACCTAAAAAGAAAACAAGGGAGCACAGCATGTATACATGAATATAACTGCCAATATAATATTAACGAGGTACCAAAGTAAGAATTAGTGAAAGTTTATATAGGTTTAAAAAAAAGTGCAAACGTCAATCTTATGTCCTGTCCACATAATATGTTTCGAAATAGAGGAGCTGGGACCCCATTAATAGCTTCTGAAGATTCTGTTGCTTCTGGAGGCATTTAGTAATATGATGCGTAGCCCTTACTTGCAGAAATCGATGAGTCCCCCCTAAATGGATACAGCAACCGCTTCTTAACCTTACGTCCATAGCTTTAAGAGATGTCGGACACTACTTCTACGTGATTTCAAAATAATTTTGTGAATTAACTTTGAACAAACGCATATAATTTGGCGACAGGGAAATAACAAAAATCGGAAGTTTATGAAACCAAACTCAATAATAGGACAAAATGACGCACATCACAGATGTCGTTACGTACCTGATCACGAGGATGGTATTGAAATCCACCAAATTACTAAAATGTTGCAGTGTGCATTTTAATCATTTGAAAATTTTGGCAGAAAACAGTGAATGTTGTAGGTTATCGCAAAACATATCGCAGTTTCTGCCCATTTGTGAACACTAATTTTCTCTTGTATCTATGCATTCCATTGACTTTCAGCCATCAAAACACCACACGAAAGTGTGGAGGCATGCACGAATTCGATATCAATCATATTTCGGTTCCTGCAACAGTAATAGGTACTGCACAAAAGCTGATAGGGAAATTTGTGATCGAGTACAGGTTTTCGCCAAGCTGCAAGGATAGCTATCGAATGACAGTCGTCGAAATGTACGCGAAGCTTACTCGGCATGCCAAATAATCATTGCATGAACCATATATTAAGGCGTCCTGTCACACAAGCAATCAGTAAATGCTCAAGAACGATATCGCACAACAATTTTCATACAAATTCATCCAACAAGAGCAAAATAAGCACCGAAATCGCGTCTACTGCGTTTGCTGGACGACTAGCTCCCACTCGAATAAACGAAACCGCGCAATTGCCGTCAAGGTTAAGCCAGAGGCGCCACTTCAAATAGGGGATATGCTTTATCAACGCCCATATCATCCGTACCTTGTTTGCAACATAACTGATATCAGTTACCAGCGGTCTATAATTGAACTTTACGTCATATGGATGGATTTATCATATCACGGATAATTCTATATTAGATTCACATACGCTTCTTAGAAAATCACGCCAACAAATAATTTTCTTCCTGCTGGAAAAATATCCGCAGCAGTCTCAGAAATAAACCGTACAATGGGCGGCTAAATAAGTTAGGTCTCTTCACAGTTAGCTACGGTTCACTTAGGGGGCACCTGATTACTGTCTAAAAGATAACAAATGATCTGAATCACCCAAACAAATGTGTTCTACCATTGAGTAGGTATGGGCTTCCTCGTGGAAATCCTAGAAGGATAGCTCACCAGAGAGTGAAGAATTGAGTGATCTCCCATTTCTTCTCACTGCTAGTTTGCCGTCCAAGGAACTCCTTGCAGGTAGATTTAACTACTGCACCGCCTGTGAAAAGCCTTAAATGAAGGCTAGACAACCACGTCGTGGCACGAGGGCTCTGTTCAAATGGCCTATCCCCATTGAAATCTGATGCACCGTTAATGGGTAGACATGTAATTTCATCACTTTACTTCCTCACATTCCCTCCTGTATTGCTTTCCTGACTTTTCCAACAACTGCACATACATTTTATTTGTTTTATTGATGTTATACGTATATGTATTTGTATAAGTATATAAATCAACCTCAAATTGAATTAGCTGTCTGTTTTTACTTTTTTCTTTTAGTTTGAATAAGCTACACCAATTACATCAATCATTAATATATCTTTTCTCTTGACAATGACATCGGAGGACCTACTTTGAAAGTTTAACACCATTCGAAATATCAACAAAGTCTAAACACATCACATACTACAAACAACATATAATTAATCCCAATACCACCCCTCTTAGAGTCAACCATAGCTACAACAGTCAAGTGACGGGAAGAACTATGCATACAGGGAATCGTTATCTCACAATCAAGAAGAAAGAACAAAAAATCAAGCTGGTTTATACAAGCTCGTTAAAACGATATTGGACATTAGACTACCCACCCGGAGAGTTTGGCGCGTAATAAGCATTAGGCGCTACATAGATTATTGTGGTGATTTTTGCGCATTTGCTTATTTGATTTTCACTGTGAATTTCCGGATTGTGCATATTTTATTTTCAAAATATTTTCCATAGATTATTGTTAGTTGCTAATCGAAGTCAGTTTTATGTGTTCCTCTAGGAATTTTTTATTTATATATTTTTTATTTTTGTTTACAGCTTGATTCCACACCGTATTTTTGGTACAAGTGTGGAATTTTCAGCTTGGATATAAGTAGCCCAAATTTTGCAGGCCGACCATAGATATCAGGTGTGCGTCGGTAGGGGATCGAACCCCGGACCATGTGCATGGTCGGCAAGAGTCCTAACCACTGTGCCACCGATACACTAATAATTTTCAGGGTAAAAAACTAGTTTAATATATATTTCTTAGTAATAGGTGTTATTTAGTGTTAAGACTTACAAATAATTGTGAGTTTGCAAGTTTGTAGAATGGCAGCCACAAAATAATCTAGAGAATCTTTTGATAAAGAAAAGTAGTCAAGAACTCAGATTAGTGAATTGCAAATATAAATGTGCAGACTGCAGGCAAATTTACACTTTAGGAGCCGTCCAATCAGCCATACCACTGACTTGGAGCAACTAATGAGAAATAATGGTCTCTAAAAGCTGCAGAGCCATTAAATTACAGACTGCAGTGACCTTGAACGAGCCACAAGAATATAGATGCAACAAAGTCGCATAATCGGTGAAAAATGCACTAAAACATCGTAAACATGATATTATACTACATATCTGTGGCTCATGTGTTGCAAAGATTTTTCCCAGTCACTGCGAAAATGATCTATAGTGGAATCATACGATGCGCGATTGATGAATTCATCGAGGTGACTGTAGGTCAAGTTATTTTGATGTCCATTAATATTTTTCTCACTGTTCTTGACCTAATACTAACCCTAACCCCAGAACCTGAACCCTAATCTAATAAGGCATAGCCCTCACTAACAGTATAGATTTACGGATGAAGTACATAAAGAATGAGTGGAATAGTGTATCTTCCTTCTCCGAGTCCAGAAAGGCAGATAATCTTATTTGGAATGACATTTCGTTGCATTTTGTGTATCTGGTTGGCTCTTGAGGGTCAAATCTTGAAAATCCTTGAGTTTGGCTACGAAAATTCGACTCCGCCAGTTGCATTTGTGTACATATAAGTTTCTATTTTCTAGCCTACTCCAGAATCCCAATCCTCTGCAAAGATTATTTGTCCTATCAGGCTTCCCTCGCATGTTTATGTTATAGAAACCCCAACTTATCAATTATTCACGCAGTAATCAAGCACACTTTCTTCCCGGAATCATTTAAAGAAATCCAGAACAATTGATGTTAGTTTTGTCGTACAACCCGTAGGTCCTGTTGGTTGTTGAACATCATGTATCGGGGCGATTGCTGTAGTTTCACGTCTTTCACTTAACCTAGTCATAATCCATCCCCTAACCTTAGTCTAATTTCTGGTTGGACTTTCTGTTTTTAAGTCAGCTTGCTCTACTACCAAATTCAATCTAGATATATCACCAAATATCTAGTTAATTTGAACTCAGCCCCTTAAAAGAGACTTTTACTTTATCAAGCTGTGAGTCATTCTTTTTTGTCAGAGTTCAGAATAATACTCACTGCCTCCGACTGCAGTACTCACACCATCATCGCAAAAGGTTTGAAAGTAAGGAAAGGTGTCTACAGACTGGAAGTAAGACCGGCTACCTTGTCAAGCTACCAAAGAAGGGCGATCTTGGCTTATGCAAGAATTGACATAGAATAATTCTCTTGTCCACGCCAAGTAAAATACTGAGTCGCATCATCCTGGGGAGAATAAAAGAGACAATGGATGCAGAACTCCGCCAGTCCGGAAAAAGCTGGATTCAGGAAAGGCAAGTCATGTGCTGATGAAATTCAGCTCTACGCATCGTCATCGAACAAAGCATAAAATGGCAGGCAAACCTCTACCTCAACTCTATTGACTTTCAAAATGCCTTCGACAGCGTTAATCGAGTAATTTGGAAACTACTTCACTATGGAGTGAAGTGCCCAAGTGTTTATCAACTTCATTCAACAACTGGCTATATGACAGTACCAATTGTCAAGTGATCCACAACGGAAAACTCAGCGAGTCGTTCGAAATGCGTACAGAAGTAAGACAAGGCTGGCTGTCTATTATCCCCGATGATATTCTTAATTCTGGTGAACTGGATTATGCATCAGACTATGGGGAGTGAAAAGACAGGTATACTTTGGATTACCGATAAGAGGACTCTAGAAGATGTGGATCTCGCGTGTTGATCTCGCGTGTCTCCATCACACATCCGCAGGCCTAAACCAACAGACTGGCCGAAGAAACAGGCAGTGAAGACAGGACTGCAGGTGAACATAGAGAAAACGGGGGGGGAATGAAGTTAACCACGCGCCAACGGCAACAACAACAACGACCAGCACCAGTCACCATCAACTGGAGAAATTTGAAAGAGGCCACTTCCTTCACTTCTCTAGTCATCGTCATTTCACCTACAGGTGACACGGTTGATTATGTCAAAGCCAGAATCGGAAAGGCGAGGTACACCTCCATCACTCTGAAATCACTTTGGAAATCTTCTGCACTCAGCCATCATAAAGAGCGAGATTTGGATTTTCAACACATGAAGTCAGCTAGTGTTTCTATACCGGTTAGAAACTTGCACTTGCAAGCTACAGACTTTTATCAACAGCTGCCTTCAGTTCCTACTGAAGATCAAATAGGCAGTCAACCAGCCAGCCGGTCAGAAGGGGAATTATCAACAAGAAACTCTATCAACAAACCAACGAAGAGCCTATTTGCTCAACAAATGTTTGGAGAAAATGAAGATGAACTGGGCATACGTTGAGGAGGTCGTCGAATGACATCGCGCTCAATACAGGCTATTGCTCTAGTGGAACCTCAATGGGAAGGATGAGTAGGTCGTCCGAGGGTGACATAGAAGAGATTGTTTTAGGGAGGAGGAGATGAGAGATTATGGGCAATCGTGGATCCAGATAAAAGGGACAGAAGAAAATAGAACAAAGAGGAGATGCGTCTTTGAAGCTTTATGTTCCACTCGATACCCAAGGGAATAATAATAGTCATAATAATACAGACTGAAGTAGGTGGAGCGAGACTTGGACGTGAGACTTTTTGGGTGGAGGTTGTAGGCCTAAGCCAAGAAACCCGACTCGACGCTGAACAAATAAATTTTTCTGTGAGAGCCAACCGAGCGAACACTAAGATTGTATTACTCTTTCTTCAGATTTGTAAGATAAATGAATTATTTCAAATCTCATTAACATGTACTTTTATCCCCTCAATCGGTTGTAATCCTCGGGATATAAGAACTAATAGCTGGAGCGTTGGTACTATGGCTCACTTTGTTGAATTTTGAATCTTGATAACTTGAGTGTGTTACTTAAATGCCTAAAAGTGATACTGATTATGTAATTGAAATGAAGGCGAGGGATTCTTGATTGTTTCAGTGGCGCAGGTACATTCACTTTTAGCGGTCTCTCAGATCTATTAAGTTCTCATGTTTCTCTGTGTAATTATTCTTTCTTCTATACATTGCAGTTTGAATTTTTTTCTTTTACTCCCACTTGAAATGCTGCACTTCTATACAAATTTCTGCGTTGGGACTTAGTCAATTAGTTAATCTTGATGTACTAGTTTAAGCAGCAGCAAACGAAATGGTCTTACATTTTGTTATATTCCTCTTGTTCTGTACACCAATGAATTATTCATTTAGTGAAAAATGTGTTACTTATCTTAGATGTTATAAAGTGTTTATAATTATTTGTGTGCTTGCTCAGGCAGGCAATGCTTTTTTAAAATCCACCGCTTAAATACACCTTGTTGCCAAAGAATAAGAGGATACATGTTGCGGACGTAGTGTATATCACTAGGCAAAGCAGCAGGACCTGATGGAATGACTCCAGAGGTATTTAAGTACGGTGGAGACAGGTTACTTTCTGCATTAACTGAGGTACTAGGCAGCGTCTGGAAATCAGAGGAAGTTCCGTCGGGTTGGTGTAAGTCACTGATTATCCCCATACACAAGAAAGGAAACACGTACTCCTGTGGTAATCACAGAGGGATTAGCTTAACTAATATAGTATCCAAAGTCCTAGGCTCAATAATATTGCGTAGACTAAGTGGTACTGGGGAGGCACAAACACGAGAGAGCCAGGCAGGCTTTAGACCAGGAAGAGGGTGTATTGATCATATCTTCAGCCTTCGACAGATTCTAGAATAGAGACATTCTTGCCGGAGTCCAACAATCATTATATTTCTTGACCTAAAGGCGGCGTTCGATTCTGTCGACCGAGAGGTTCTCAGGCGATGCTTGGCCGTAAAGGGAATCCCGAGAAAATACATTGTACTGATTAAGACACTCTACTCGAACTCATACAGCCAGGTGAGGGCTTATGGTGAGGTGTATCTGAAGTGATGACGACTAGTGGTGTCCGTCAGGGATGCCCATTATCACCATTTCTATTCAATTTCATCACAGATGTACTAATGGACTTAACCCTAAGTGACTTCAGCGACTCAGGGATTGACTTGCTACCAGGGAATAATCTCGTTGACTTAGAATATGAAGACGATATAGTTCTTCTAGGCGAGGACGCTGACAAAATGCAGGGTCTTCTGAACACCTCGAGCTGCAATCTACAAATGTTTGGCATGCGATTCGCTCCTGTCAAATGTAAGATGATGTTACAAACTGGACTACACTGACTCCTAGCTCAGAAATAGGAAGTGAAGTGGTAGCGCACGTTGACCATTGGAAAGTACCATCAGCCTCAACGGGTTGATGTCTGACGAAATCTCAGTACGGATACAGAGGGCTAGTTTCGCATATGCCAGTTTATGCCGTCTCTGGCGTAGACGTGATATCCGGCTATCGACCAAAGGGCGGGTGCACTGCTCAGCAGTCTATACCGTCCTCCTTTATCGCTGGCTGTGAGACCTGGCCATTGAGACTGGAAGACATGAAAAGATTAGCTGTCTTTGATCATAGGTGCCTGCGTTCTATTTCCCGTGTGAAGTAGTATAATAAGGTGAGCAATACTGAGGTTAGGCATCGGTCGAGTGCTAGGTAGGTGAGGGGAAATCAATCGACGAGGTTGTGAAGTTACATAGACTGAGATGGTTAGGACATGTGTTACGTATGCCTAGTCATCGCCTTCCTCGACCGACAAGCAATGTTAGCTGATATAGGGTCAGGCTGGAAAAGAGCTAGCGGCGGTCAAACCAAAACATGGCCTCACCAGTCAATGAAATCAACAACAGTTGGTCTAAGCCACGTAGGAAGGTGTAGACTTCCTGACTGGTTGGGGTCCTCGGGACGAAAAAACCAATGGTTGGAAACAATTGGTGACATGGCTCAAAATCGTTCTCAATGGCTACGGAAGATGCATCCACTCCTTGTGACTTATGATTTCCAATGAAACTGTTTTGTTCTTCGTTACTTCTATTCCTTTGTCTCACACCTCTGTTTACTTTCTCTGTTATGCATTTCTTCTACCTTCTTCTCTTGCTTTGTGTGCTACAAGGAGGGAGTGTGGCGACTTGAAGTGCCGCACATCGGTGCAAAGTCCATGTCGAAAACAGACAGACAGACAGTATGTCACAAGGCATAAGTGCACAAAGCTTAGTTGTAGTGTAGAAAAATCTTAGACCAAATAGCTCTTCACTACTTCAAAAGATTTAGCATGGGCAATGTGCTTTTCACTTTAGTCTGCCTAGGCAACACTTGTATAATACTTCCCGTTAATTTTGTTTCTAAACTTTGAGCACAACATGATTTGAATGCACCTTGATAACTGAAGTCAATCTCCAGCCACGTCCCAAATGACAGGATACTTTTTTCCTCCGGATAATTACACGCCTAAGATATCAACTACAGGGATTTTATTTTAGTCTTTGTGAGATATTCAATGAAAATATGTCTGTAAATTATTCGATTGTTTTTGGTTCTTTTAGAGTAAATGGGTTTGACGAAAAAAATCTTATCACCGGCCGATATACGTCAATGGACTGCTTCAGTTGCTCTCAGCGAAATACTTGACTTGATCAACGGTGTCAACAACAAAATAGTCTCACGTCTAATTCAGAAAGATTTGTTAACATCTAAGGTGATAGAGTATAGCATATTATTATTATTATAAAATCACTCATTTTAGGCTATAACGTTAGTATGTGAGGTACTTGAGAAGATGCAACAGGCAGTCAAACAATACCCACCTGAGGAGCAGCCACAACGATTTGGAAATAAAGCATTCAAGAGTTGGTTTTCATGGTTACAAGAGAATGCAATTGGGCTATGTACCAGTATATTTATTGATCATGGCAGTGGAGACTTCAATGATCCGCCGAGTTAGTAAATCGTAGGCTTAAATTTTTTAAATAGATGCTAATTGATAGTTGTATTAATGAAAGTATGTTTCCAAGTCTATACTCCTTTAATCTTAACTTAGGAAATGTTTAATAATAATGATTCGATTGCTTTTTTTTAAAGCTCTAGCTTTCAACTGCACGAATGAGATTTCAATCCTCTTTTTCTAAAACTTCTCGAATAGATACTGTTTAAAAAAAACAGTTTAGAACTTATTTTTATGCCGCTGTCATTGGTAGTTTCCACCCGATTTTTTTTATTATTTCGAACCGTATTCATGTATCGTTAATGGTGTATGAAAAATACATTTTACTGGTCATATCAGTAGATAGTGTTGTTTTATTTTGTGATTAATATAATAAATAAATTAGAATTCAGAAGACGCTTTAAGTACTTTCAGAAGGTTGTTGTTTTATGGTGAAGTGATAATCACCAGGAGGTTGCCTCAGTCCCAATAGACGAGGTACTTCCTGTACTGTATACTGCTCAATAGTCCGTAATGTAACTTGTTTAGAACTTTAAGACATGGCTTTCGGGGAGCATAACGACAAAGGAAAGCCTTAGATTTTTGATCACTCGTCCAAACAGTCACACCTCCTTCAGTATATGTTTAGTAGATTTAAGTTAAAATGAAATTGGCATTTTTGCTGCATTCCTTCAGATGACAACTCGCTGGAAGCTGTAACGCGAGCTCGTGAGTTTGAGTACAGCGTCATAATTGGTCTAATATGCTTTGTTTTCTTCCAGCATACCATTCACAGTTGGAAATCACCACTATTATAACCGTGATAATACTGGTTTGGGTTCGTTCCATCATCATTTCAACGTTTGGCAATATATGACTAATCAATCGAGTAGTATTCATGCACTAAGGACGATAAAGTAAACTGACTGTGAAGGCAAAGACTTGTTTCCCCATACCAAAGGTAGTATCACTAGACATTATGTCTAATTACATATTTTTACATGACCAAATATTGCGCCGGTGGCACAGCAGTAGAATGCTCACCGACCACGCATGTGCTCCGGGGTTCAGTCAACCGGTCGACGCACTCCTTTACCTCACAAAACTAAATGGTAAGACTGGTAAAGAAGGTAGGTTGGGCATGAGGCTAGCAACTTCATCCCGTAAACTTAAACATCACTGCTACCGAAACTTCAAGCCTCTAGCTTGATGCCGCATATCTTCCACTGGGAACTTAAAGGAATAAAAAAAAAGCCAAAAACATAACCAATAAATTTCCCATTTAAGATATGAAAACTTTGCTCTTACTGGATAACATGTATCAATAAAAATCCAGTGACATGACCTATAATCTACGTTAGGGTCAAACGTTTGTTTTACAGGTCGCATGGGAAACCGTGACACATAATATATGTTCTCTTAAAAATCGCAACACATCCACTCATGGAATCTAATGCATTTGAGAGTGCAGAAACAAACAGTAGATATGTTTATGATTTGAAACATTGTTTAGACTAAAATAACCTTGATTATAAACAATTTTGGATTATATGATCAAAGGTTTTATGAAAATAACAAACAAGGAAAAAAAAGCAACCCAATCCAACGTTTATTAGATGTGCATTTAATTGAATTTTACATTTTCCCGTCGATTGATTGGATCGAAGTGCTCGGTCTCAGGTTGACATGTCTGTTAGCTTCTTGTGCAGATGCTTTGACGATGTCTGGGCATGTAATTAGAATTTAATTGGTGAAACGCGCATACTGGATTCCATTGCTAGTCACCATCCACCAATTAAATTCTAACTAAATGCACAGACATCGTCGAAGCGTCTGCACAAGAAGGCGATAGACATGTCAACCTGAGACCGAGCACTTCGGTCCCATCAATCGACGGGAAAATCTAAAATTCAATTCAATAATTAATATGACCCGTTGCACAAGAGGTGGCTCTCGTGACCCAAGTGGTCTAGTAGTGGGTAACGCTTTGGCGTTTGAAACTATGGGCATTGGGTCTGAGCCTCGGTGGACACATCATCACTCTCTGGGAAATGCAGGTACATCCAGATGACGAGTCCCAAATAGGACGAAATGCGAGTTATCATGGATTCCACTGCTAGTCATCATCCACCAATTAGATTATTAGATGTACAGTCTGCATATAATCCTACTTCAGGGATAATCTTATAAAGACTGAACAGATTGTCATTGTGGACATTCAGTCACAAAATATACTTGATTGTGAAGTACATATATAAGTCTTTGTGAGTAGAAAAATAGTGTTGCACTATGTGATTTATTAAAATTTGCTTCTGTAATATAACTTATTTCTTTGAGAGTTGAATTTCATAAACAAGACTTAGATTTGTGTTTTTCTAGGGTTTACAATGTTAAACTCTCCCTCTCTCTCTCTCTGATTCATTTCATCGCTTATTATTTGGTATATAGGGAAGTACAATTTGTTATTGAATAGTTATTGTATTGTTATTTTCTAAACCAAAAGAAAAAACTGTTATTATATTTGTATTTAGTATCATATAAGGAAGCAATTGATGAAGTTTCCTGTTATCTAATCGAGTCGGTGGGAAATTCAACACGTATCGATTATGGAACTGGTCATGAATTGGCTTTTTTGGCATTTTTAACTTGTCTTTTCAAACTCAATATCTTACACAAGCAAACGGATTCTGATTCAACAGTTATAAACGATCTTCTAGCTATCGGTCTCGTCGTAATGCCAAAATATTTAAGCTTGGTTCGATTACTGCAAACAACATATCGTATGGAACCGGCTGGATCTCATGGTGTTTGGTGTTTAGATGATTTTCAATTTGTACCATTTATTTGGGGAAGTAGTCAACTGATTGGTAATTTCAATTGTAAAAAATATTTTTTTTTTAAAGGTTTTAAAGTCGACTAGGTTTGATAATTAACACAAATGTGTTTAATCAACTTAAGAGGCTCATTTTACAGCCAACGGATCATGGGTTTGAGTCCTACTCTACCTATTTCAGCCTGCCCAACCGCGATAGCTGCTACATTGACGTGGTGATTGGGCTGACACATCGTAATAACCAAATTAGTTACACTGGATAGTACTAATTTTCGTGCAGGTGTTACCATGTCAGAAAGGTCATTTGAATATAGTAGTTAGACCAAAGGTGATTACTATCATAGTGTAACTCTACGTTTGTACTATATTAGGGGTATATGGGATGTAACGGCAGTAAAGTGTTTCCCTCAGATAATCAACATTCCAGGACAGCCATACTGTTTTTCCAATGTGGGTACTGGGGAGGAGGGGGCAGAATACACGAGAATTGTATATCCTGACCTACCTTGTAGAGGTTCGTAGGCAGCGGTAACAGCTAGATACGGTCACAACTCCAAAAGCCAAATCAAACAAGCCATCTGTGACGTATCGGGAGCAGTTGTCCTATGGGCTGTTCGGTCAGACAACACTACTACGTCTGTGTCTCAGACAATTTGGAAAGAAATGAACTTCTATGATATGTGCCGCTGAAAAGTAATAACTACCCACACGCACACCCACTAGCAGACTTCAGCCTAAGCAACTGGGTAGTATCATCAGCTGTTACACACTTATTAGTGTGTTTCTTGGCCTGGTAGATGTAATAAAAAATATCTGTTCTCGGGCAATTAACTTCAAACAAACACCACTCGCAGATGATTGTAGTGTCAATCAAAATGATGAATAAAGTTGGGCAAATAGTACTTGGGTATCTTCCGTTTTTCTGACATGAATGCTGCACTGATAATGAATCGGAAGTATTTAGAGGAAAGAAGGTAATTCTGTGGAGGTTTCTATTTTTATTGTTGTCTTTTCCCGAAGCTGGTCATCTCGATCAATAATTTTTATAAATGTAGGCAGTTATATGTAAATAACAGGGTCTGATATAATTCCCTGTCAGTTCAGATTGAAATATATATATATATATATATATATATGACATCAACACCTTTTGGTTGGGCGCATGGAATGGTAGTTTGATGTCTGTAAAGTGTGTTTGACAGTTGCTTTAAGACGCGTAGCGGGCTTTAGACTGCCTGGATGGGTGTCCTTTGGGATGCTAAGAACCGATGGCCTCAGATTATTAGTGATATGGCTCAAAATTGTTCTCATTGGCACAGATGCATTCACTCTCTTTATTTCGCCTATTTATTAATTCCTCATGTTATTCTGTATTACTGTTATTTCTTCCATACATTTCTGCTCGTTTTAGTGCTTTTAAATACTTTTCCTCTCTTTTTCCTCTATCTTTTTGTGCTACATGAAGTGGGACACTAGCTAGTAGCTAATGTAGTGTATCTGGTCCTTTGTTTGGTGCAGAGTGAATTCTATCAGTGAAGTTTACGATGTGGTCACTATTCCTGGTGACTCGCCATCACGCTGCACTGTAAATTGTTGATATTAGATAGTTGGAAGAAATCGGCGGGAAGCCTTAGACCTAGGCTTCGTGCTAGTTGTCAGCATGGTGTATCTGCAATCTTTTAGGAACTCATGACCCTTCTGAGATTCGAACCCGCGTCACCAAGTGCTGCAGTCAGAGACGTTACCACTCAGCTATTCAGGTTCGCGATTGACCTCCTGTAGGACTGTGTCAGTGGTACAATGGTTAGGACTCTAGCCGACCATGCACATGGTCCGGGATTCGACCCACTGCAGACACACTCCTGATATCAATGGTCGGCCTGCAAAGTCTCTTGACAGAAATATGAATTTAACTCGAGGGAAGCTAATGTATCAACAGTTCCAAAAAAGATCTTGTTCCTTATGGATAACATCACTGAAATAATAACACAACAATTAAAGAATCCAGTAAAAAGTGCATTCAGTGCAGCAGAATCCCACAGTCTCTACACAATTACTCCAGTTTCATTCCCTCAAATGAAGAGTTAACTAGTAAGTGTCGCCTTCTCTGTGTGTGTATCTACCAGTTTGATTGTTCCTGTTGAACCAATTGTATTGGGCATATAATTTTAGGCACCATCATAATCGTATTTCCGAAGATCATCCTGCATGGTTAAACAAGGGAGAAATATACTCTATTCGTAATCATGTCTGTCTATCTGTTTTCGAAATGGAACTTTGCACCGATGCGCGGCACTTCAAGTCGCCACACTCCCTCCTTGTAGCACACAAAGCAAGAGAAGAAGGTAGAAGAAATGCATAACAGAGAAAGTAAACAGAGGTGTGAAACAAAGGAATAGTAGTAACGAAGAACAAAACAGTTTCATTGGAAATCATAAGTCACAAGGAGTGGATGCATCTTCCGTAGCCATTGAGAAAGATTTTGAGCCATGTCACCAATTGTTTCCAACTATTGGTTTTTTTCGACCCGAGGACCCCAACCAGTCAGGAAGTCTACACCTTCCTACGTGGCTTAGACCAACTGTTGTGGATTTCATTGACTGGTGAGGCCATGTTTTTGTTTGACCTCCGCTAGCTCTTTTCCAGCCTGACCCTATATCCGCTAACATTGCTCGTCGAG